TCCATGAGTTATTCTAAGGTGAAAGTCTTTGTAAACATCATTCAAGTAAAGAAATAGAACTTTACCAGCCATTCCATAAAGGTTTACACATGTGCTCTGTTCCAGAGCCAACCCTTATTCTCACCTAGAAGTAACCATTATCCTGACTTTTATACTAAGCACTTACATCTCTCTATGGTTTGTGACTCCCTAGACACTATAGACTTAATAAGACTCAGTGTTAGCATTCTCCTTTTATTTCACTTTTAAGTAAGGAAAAACTTTAAACAGTTACATTAAGATATAATTTATATGCCATAAAATTCATCATGATATGGGTATACTTTTAAGATCTTTATTTAATTTATAGTTGTGCAACCATCACAATAATCCAATTTTAAATCATTTCCATTACACTCAAAAGTTCCCTCGTGCTGCGCCCATTTGCAGTTGATCCCACTTGCACCCCTAGCCAGGTACACCCTGACCTGCTTTCTTTATTTATAGATTTTTTTCCTGGCATTTCATGTAAATGGAATGATAAAATATGTAGTCTTTTGCATCTGACTTCTTTCATTTCACATAATTTTTAAAATGTTTTTAACTCTCATCAGAGGATATATTTATTGATTTGAGAGAAAGATACAGAGAAACACCAATGTGAGAGAGAAACCTTACAGCACAGAGTTCCAGTGCCAAGAAAACAAGTCCCCATAACTTCTGACTGTGAAAACCAGCTGAGGTTGTGGCTGGGTAAGACCCAGGCGTTCCTCTTAAAGGCCTGGGCATGAACTTACTCAGATTCATTCCCTCTGAGCTCCAGCACTGGGGCAGCAGTTTGAAAAGCACCAGGCACATACCAGGGAAAACTGGATTGTCTGGCATCAGGGCAAGAGATGGGGGTAGCAGCCTTCTGCCAGACAAAAGTGCTGGCAGCGGTCATTGTTGCTTTTCTGAGACTCTCCGTCTCAACATTCACACACACAGAGCCAACAGGCACATCTGAATCTCCATCAACCTGGCTCATGCTATTTTCCCCACCCTGGTGATTCCCTGAGGCCCTGACCCACCCACCTGGCAAGCCCATCCAAGCTGTTTCCAGTGGCTTTTCCATACAACCGGCCTCTCTCGCCTCATGCTTCAGACTTTCTTAAAATCTCCCAAATAAGCAGCATCTGGCTTCTGTGTACCACCTACCTCTTGCTAAGTGGCCCCAGGCCTGGCACTAGTGGCAGCCAGCCTTAGTTCACAGCTTGGCCTCTTCTGGCCACCTCCAAGCCCAGCACAAGTAGCAGACATCTGCACATTACCCTGTAGCTCGTGCTGGGTGTCCCCAGGCAGGGCATAGGTGGTGGCTGACTTTGTACCTCCCAGAAGACCCCAGGGCCAGTGCACCCAGGGGACATCTTCGGACCACACCAGATTCCCACCCTACCCCCTCCACAACAGACACACTCAAGGGATAAACTCAGTGAACACCAAAGCTCCACCGAAGCAAGTCCTGCTCTGAAGGGTCGACTCCTGTACAGCAGCTCCTCTGTTGTAGTTGTAGCTGGTCCTCACAGGCAGTTGGCCTGGGGGTCAATCCCTCCCAGCAATGCCAACAGCTATTAAGGCTCAACTGCAACAAAACTGTGCACACAGCCCACACGGTGGCACACCTGGAGTGCTCAGTTTGGGTGGCTGGAGAGGCTGCACCACTGGGCCCTACAGGGCACAAGACTACTCTACCAGAGTCTGGGAGATGTAGCAGCTCTACCTAAGACATAGAAACAAACATAGGGAAGCAGCCAAAATGTGGAGACAAAGAAACAAATCCCAGATGAAAGAACAGAAGAAATCTCCAGAAAAAGAACTAAATGACATGGAGGCAAACAAACTACCAGATGGAGTTCAAAACAATGGTTATAGGATGTTCAAGGGCCCTGGCTGGTGTGGCTCAGTGGATTGAGTGCCAGCTCACAGACCAAAAGGTCAGTGGTTCAATTCCCAGTCAGGGCATGTGCCTGAGTTGTGGGCTGGGTCCCCAGTTGGGGGGTGCGAGAGGCAACTGATCATCAATGAATGTATCTCCCACACATTCATATTTCTCTCTGTTCACATCTCTCTAAAAACAGATAAATAAAATCTTTAAAAATAAGAAAGGATGCTCAAGGAACTTAGTAAGAACTTCAACAGCGTGAAAAAGGACATAGAAACCATTAAAAATAACCATTCAGAATTGAAGGATACCCATTCAGAAATGAAGGCTACATTGGCCCTGGCCAGGTTGCTCAGTTGGTTATAGCATCGTTCCAATGTGCCAAGATTGTGGGTTCAATCCTTGGTCAGGGCACATACAAAAATCAACCAATAAAAGCATAGGTAAGTGGGACAACAAGTCTGTGTTTCTCCCTCTTCCTCAAATCAATTTTTAAAAATTTTAAAAAGAGCCTTAGCTGGTGTGGCTCAGTGGATGGAGTGCTGGCCTTTGAACCAAAGGGTCGCCAGTTCGATTCCCAGTCAGGGTGCATGCCTGGGTTGCAGGACAGGTATCCAGCAGGGGCACGTGAAATGCAACCACACATTGATGTTTCTCTCCCTTTCTTTCTCCCTCTCTTCCTCTCTCTATAAATAAATTAAATAAATAAATCTTTTTACAAAATTTAAAAAAGAACAAAAAAGAAATGATGAATACAATAACTGAAATGAAGAATAGTTTATAGAAAATCAACAGTAGAGTAGATGACACTGAGAATCAAATCAGCAATTTGGGATATAAGGAAGCAAAAAACACCTATTCAGAACAACAAAAAGAAAACAGAATCCAAAAATATGATGATAGTGTAAGGAGCCTCTGGGACAGCTTCCAGACATTTACCTCCTGGGGGGGTGCCAGGAGAAAAAGGGAGAGAGTGGGGAAATTGAAAACGTATTTGAAAAAATAATGACAGAAAACTTTCGTAACCTGGTAAAGGAAATAGACATATAAGGCCAGGAAGTGCAGAGTCCCAAATAAGATAAACTCAAAGAGGCCCCTATTAAGATACACCATAATTAAAATACAAAAGGTTAAAAACAAAGAGAGAATCTTAAATGCAGCAAGAGAAAAGTAGTTACTTACCTACAAGGTAGCTCCCATAAGACTGTCAGCTGATTTCTCAAAAGAAATTTTGCAGGCCAGAAGGACGTGACAAGAAATATTCAACATGATGAAAAGCAAGGACCTACAACCAAGATTACTCTAGCCAGCAAAGCTATCATTTAGAATTGAAGGATGGCTAAAGAGCTTGCCAGTCAAGAAAAAGGTAAAGGAGTTCATCACCACCAAACCAGTATTATGTGAAATGTTAAAGGGTTTTTTTTTTAAGAAGGAAAAAAATTAAAAATGTGAACAACAAAATGGCAATAAATACATATCTATCAACAACTGAATCTAAAAATCAAAGTAAATAAACAAGCAGAACAGAAACAGACTGATAGATACAGAGAATATTTTGACAGTTGTCAGATGGGAGGGGGCTTAGGGGGTGTGGGTGAAAAAGTGAGGGATTTAGAAGTCCAAATTCTGGTAGTTACAGAATAGTCATGGGGATGTAAAGTACAGCATAGGAAATATTGTCAATAATTTTCTAATAACTATATATGGTGTCAGATGGGTATGAGAGTTATCAGGATAGTCACTTAGTAAGTTACATACTTTCTAATCGATGAGGTATACACCTGAAACTAATATAATATTGTATGTCAACTGTACTTGAAAAATGGGGGGAAAGAGAGAGAGAAAGAGTCCCGTTTGAGTTGCCAAGTCTGTTATTGAATTCAAGAGGTTTGCTGCTTGGGCTTCATGGCTGTTGCAAGGTATTTTTATTTACTTGCAGCAAGAAAAGGAGACCAGATTCATATCCAAAGTTCTGCCTCTCTGAGGGGAGGCTTAGCAGTTGTTTAGACACACTATTTGGTCAATTATACATTGATATCTTCTTTGCAGTTGGCTACACATGTCAGGGTGAGTTCCTGTGAAGTTTATCGTGTTTATGTCTTATCTGAAAAATGCTGTGTTACATTTTAACGTTAAGCAAGAAGGGCATTTAGTAAGAATGGCCCAAACCAACAATTTTCAATACGCATGCTGGTGTATCACAAGAATATTTAAAACATGCAATACCTAACTATTTAGTCATGGGCACTGACCCCTTTTCCCTTAGATTATCAAATTTTTAAAAATGACAGCAGTGAACACAATAATAGCCATCCAGTGTGAATGAATAAAAAATATACCTATTTTTTTGTCAGATTGGCAAAAAATATATTTTGTGTGTTTGGCACAAAATATATTTTAGTAATTAGTTTATGTGTGCCATGAGATGAAGAAAGGTTGAAAATTGGCCCAGACCCTTGACACCCTTGTTCTATCCAACAGAAGGACAAGTCTTTCTTGCATAGTCTTGTTCTATTCATTGTAGGACATTTAGCTTAGCTGACACCTGCTCACCATCTTCCAGTAGCTTTGCCAGTCATTGTGATCACCAAAAGTGCCCCCAAGTACTTTCAAAAGTCTATGGAAGGTATTGCACTATCACCCATGCAAAACCAACACCTCCCCGCCCCCCCTCCCGCCCCCCCCCCCCGCCGCACACTCTAAGAGTGGTTTCTGTCGTCTACAATGAACTCTAACCAAGACACGCATACGCACAGACACAAAAAAAACTCTTACAAAAGACTAACAAACTAAGATATGAAAGCGCATGATGAAAATTAACACCGATCAGTTCCTACAATTTCATGATGAGAAGGAGGCTATGAACGAATAGGGCAGAGAATGGGAGCAGAGGGCTGAGACGCCCGGGGTCAGAGGCGAGGAGCTGGGGCCGGTGGGGGAGGGCGTATAGGGAGAAGGACCTCTGGGCATCCACTTCGCGTCCCCCTACCCCACCCCGGCAATGTCCTCGGCTCCCACCAGAAGGCGCCCGCCTTCCCCGCGCGTAGCCGAGGCTGAGCCCAGCGGCGCCGCGATCTGAAGAGCCTGGCGGCGGCGTGAGCCCTGCTGGGCAAGTGAGACAGGGTGCAGTGCAGCCCTGGCTTTGTTCCTGGGGCTGGTTTCTCAACTCCTTTCGCCACCCTGGCAGAAAGCGCCTATAACCACCCCAGAGCCTGCATCTACAAAGCCCAGAGAGTCGGAAGGCGAGCAGGGTCGGGCGCGCTGGGGAGGCAGGAGGATCCCCCACGCTCTAAGGCTGACGCGCGGCTCCCGCATCAGGCCGCCTCCAGCCCGATGAAGACCCCCAGGCCGGGGCTGAGAGCCTTGAGCAGCCGGGATCGAAATCTTGCGGCGGCCTTAGAGCGTTAGACAGGTCAGTGCCCAGGCCGGGTGAGGGAGCTGGAGGTGGGAGGAGGCGCGCTCGCCGGACTACTGTCCCCCAGGGCAGCTGCCGGAGGCCACACACCAGGTCACCTCCGCCGGGGGCATCTAATAGCGCGGGAGTGATTCTGCATTTTTCATGACAGGCAAGGTGTGGAGCCACGCTTTGTAGCACACCCGGGACAGGTGATGCTCGGACCGAGGAATTGTGGGGTGAGGGGGGACCGACTCACGAGCTGGGGCGAGGGGTCGGGGACGACGGGCTTGGGGACCTCCGTTGCCCTAATAAAGCGGAGTTCTTCTACTCAGGCGTGGCCGCGTCGAAACCACCGCAGCCAAAGGTCCCTCGCATCAAGATGCTGGGCCTCTAGTCTGGGAGGAAATCGAGGTGCGGGAGGGGGCGAGAAGAAAGGAGGCTGGGAGACACAAGGCCCAGGAAGTGAGGGGAGTGAGGGCGGGGGGCGACACCCCGCTGTGTCAATCCTAGCGCGCAAGCTGTGGAGAGCGCCCTGGGAAGCGCGGGCGGGGGTATCAAGGGTCTGCCCACGCCTCTCCTCCCCTCCTTTCTCACGCTGTCACACCCTACCGCCCACATAGGATGCGGGTGGGCCGCAGGGCCCTCTGCGTGCTGGTTCTGCTGCTAGCCTGCGCCTCTCTGGGGCTCCTGTACGCAAGAACCCGGGACGCGCCGGACCTCCGGGTACCTCTTGCTCTGTGGGCGCCCGTGCAGGGTCCCCCGAGGCCAGAGTTGCCAGACCTCGCCCCCGAGCCCCGCTATGCTCACATCCGGGTCAGGATCAAGGAGCAAGTGGTAGGGTGAGTGCCAGGAGAGGTGGCGGCAGTGCGTCACTCAGTGGCGGGTGGGGGGAGTTTCTGTTTCCTCCACCGCTGAGCTCTGATGACTGGGTTTTCTCCTCTGGTTGTGGGGGTGAAGTGGGAGGCGGAAGGGGCTATTGAGTCTCGGGTTGCGGGGGAAATCTGCCCTCCCTGAACAATGTCATGGTGGTGGGAAGGGAGGGTGTGCAGTTGGCAGGATGGCCCTGAAACACGTTCTGATGTCTTGATGGTGTCCACGGGAAAGGAGAGCCTAGATGCGGCCTGAATGGCGGGCGGACCACCCTAAAGTCCTAGCAGTCTGGCCCTGTTCTGCATCTCTGTGAAATCCACATTTAGGGGTTTGGTCATCCTGTTTGTGGTCCCTCCTCCCGGGGACTATTTGAAGAGCGATGTTTAAGGGGACAGATATTGCATGGGCAGGGTTGAAGGGGCAAGGTGTGGGGCACCATGTAAATGTTTTGTGGGATGAAGGGAGCTGTATGGCTGGGCTTTGATGACCCTTTCTCCCTGCTCCAGGCTGCTCTCTGGAAACAACTGCAGTTGTGAGTCCAGTGTGGGGAGTCTTCACCTCCCCTTTCAGAGGCAGGTCCAAGCCATTGACTTCACGAAGGCCTTTGACCCTGAGGAGCTGAAGGCTGCCTCTGGCTTGAGGGAGCAGGAGTTCCAGGCCTTCCTTTCAAGGTACCAGCATGAAAGGAGGGCGTGGCCCTACCGGTGGGGAGCAGCGCAAGGCCTGGGCGTGGGCGCAGCAAAAGGGAGAGCCCCTCTCTGACTCTTCCTCTGCTCTCCCTCTCCTCTGCTGTCAGGAGCCAGTCCGCTGCCGACCAGCTGCTCATTGCCCCTGCCAACTGCCCCCTACAATACCCCGTGCAGGGTGTGGAGGTACAGCCCCTCAGGAGCATCTTGGTGCCAGGTGGGGAGAAAGGCCCTAGGGGATGGCCTAAGCCGCTGTGGGAGTGGCAGAGCCCACGGCTGGGTGGGGGAGAATGGGGGAAAATGAAATGGGAGGCAGGGGACATCTGATGAAAGGGGGGCTTGAGGTCTGAAGGGGGCTCAAGAGATGGGAGATGGGGGCAGAAGGGACTCTTGGGTTGTCAGGAATTGCAGGAGACTCTGACAGGAGAGGTTTGGAGAAAAGAATCTATTCTTTGCAGACTGATCAAAGGTTAGGTGGATTAGGTAAGGAAGGCTTACTCTAGGCTATTTCCCACATCGTGCCCAGCTGCCTCAACAAGAGGGATGGGTGAGAAGTTCTGTGTTGTGTGCGGTGAAAGAGGGAAGAAAAGGAGATCAGAGCTGTCTGTGATTCTCGTCCCCCTCCTTCCCCCAGGGCTGAGCCTGCAGGCTGCCTCTGGTCAGGAGCTATACCAGGTAAGAAGACACAGGAGGGCAGGGAGGCCAAGTGGGCGTTGAGGATGCTGGGAGGGAAATATGGCTGCCAAAGAGGGATGGAGGATTCAGGCAGTCACACGGTAAGTCTGGGGCCTAACGCTGTATTGTCCAATACCCTCTCCCAGGTGAACCTGACTGCCTCCTTGGGCACGTGGGACGTGGCAGGGGAAGTGACTGGAGTGACTCTCATAGGAGAGGGGCAACAAAATCTCACCCTGGCCAGCCCAGGGCTGGACCAACTCAACCGGCAGCTGCAACTGGTTACTTATAGCAGCCAAAGCTACCAGGCAAACACAGCAGACACAGGTGCGAGGAGCTGGGTGCAGGTAGGGGCAGGCTAGCTGAACAGAGAGAACTCAGAAAGGCTGGAGCGGGCAAATGGCAGAGGGTGTGGGGGACACTGGGCAGTGGCCAGAGCTGCCCAGCCACACAATGGGCATTTCAGCTAGGCCAGCAGGGCCAGGGAGGTAGAGAAGAGGCCTTTGTTAATCTGGGGCCAGAGCAGGCCAGAGGGAAATTTGAGCCTTGGATGTGTTCCCTCTTCAAGCCAACCATGGGGGCCCCAGGAAATGACATGACCTAGGAGCCAGAAGACTCAAGCTCTATTCCCAGCCCACTACTTACTATAGGGCAAAGGGCTTTACCCCCGAAAGCTCACTACCAGCAAAAGGGGCCTAACACGGTCCTTCTTGCTTCTCTCCACGGCTTGCTACACCAAACCTGCTCCCGCTTTGGGACTTTGCACTTGCTGTTCCCTCTGCCTAGAATGCTCTTCCCCTAGATTTTTGCATGGCTGGCTCCTTCTTGTCTTTTGGATCTCAGCTCAAATGTTTCCTCTTCATTATCATATTACTTGCCTTATTTTCTATTCAATATTTAACAGTATATGAACTTTTTTTATTTACTAAACCTAAAACCAGATTGACTAGGTTTCTATTCCAGCTTTGTTGCTTAGTAGTTGTCTAAATGTAGCAAATTACTTAATTTCTCTGTGCCTTCTTTTTCGGTAGTAGGAATCTACTTAATAAAGCTATTGAGAGGATTAAATGAGTCTATATATTTAAGATAATTTAGAAGGTGCCTGGCCCACGGTAAATGCTCAATAAAGGTTAGCTTTTAATTAAATGTTTTCTTGCCTTTCTCCCATCCATTAGAATGTAAGTTCCATGGGGGTAAGAACATTGCGTTCTTGTCTACCGGGGCCTAGAAAAGTAATACACAGAATTATAAGCACTTAAATATTTATTTACTGAAAAGAGAATGTTGTTCCAGCCTTAAGGCCCACATCTCATGCCCTCTCTTCCCAGTCCGCTTCTCCACCGAGGGACATGAAGCAGCCTTCACCATTCGTATAAGGCACCCCCCCAACCCTCGGCTGTACCCACCTGGGTCTCTACCTCAGGGAGGTGAGGCTGGTGCACCCAGGGACATGGATGGAATCACGGTGGGGAGCAAGTGGGGAGAAGGCTGCCTGGGAAAGATGTCTCTTTGCTCCTCACTATTCACTTTCCTTGTGCGCACCTAACCCTGCCCTTCCCTCCCAGCCCAGTACAACGTTAGCGCTCTGGTCACCATTGCCACTAAGACCTTCCTTCGTTACAATCGGCTGCGGGCACTCATCGCCAGTATCCGCCGCTTCTACCCCACGGTCACTGTGGTCATCGCCGACGACAGCGACAAGCCAGAGATCATTAACGGTCCCTACATCGAGCACTATCTCATGCCTTTTGGCAAGGTGGGCAGCGAGCAAGGCTGAACCACGCACTCGAGGGCACCGGGAGGGGGCGCGCTCAGTCTGCGGTTTCCAGAGTGATGATAACAGGATTATCTGCCTCAAAATCACTGGGGTGCCTGTTAACCATGTGGCTTTCTGGAGGGAATGTAAGCTCTGTGAAAGCAGGAATCTCGTCTATCTTGTTCCCACTGCATTCTTAAAGTGGTTCTTAGCACCTAATGGGTGCGTGATAAATAGTTGAATGAATGCACGCAGGAATTCAATGTATTCCAAGACTCTCCCCCAAAACGCTGACTCAGAACCTCTGACAGTGGGAAACTGCATCTATAAGTTTCGAAGTTTGGAGAGGGTTCCAGGCTGTTGAGAGGGGTCAAGAGTGAAAAGGAAAGGTGGCAGGGGGTATGTCCTACCCCTACAGCTTCACCAACCATACATACCCTTAACCAGGGCTGGTTCGCAGGCCGGAACCTGGCTGTGTCCCAAGTAACCACCAAGTACGTGCTGTGGGTGGACGACGACTTCATCTTCACTGCGCGGACGCGGCTGGAGAGGCTTGTAGACGTGCTGGAGCGGACGCCGCTGGACCTGGTAGGGGAAGGGCCGCGGGATGTGGGACGGGAGAAAGAGGGCTTCCAGAAGGTTAAGACCAAGTCTGAGGATAGGAGCCGAAAGCAACCAGCCTTGGGACAAGAGCCTAGAGGCCTATCTGGGTCCTGAGGGGTAGAGCAGCAAAGGACGGGGCAGTGTAACCGCCCGGGGCAGAGGGAATACAGACCTACCCCCTTCCGGTCTCCGCGGCTCCTGGAGCCATCCTCCCACTCCCGGCAGGTGGGGGGCGCGGTGCGCGAGATCTCGGGCTTCGCCACCACCTACAGGCAGCTACTGAGCGTGGAGCCCGGCGCGCCAGGCCGCGGGAACTGCCTCCGGCAAAGGCGCGGCTTCCACCACAAGCTCATAGGCTTCCCCGGCTGCGTGGTCACTGACGGCGTGGTCAACTTCTTTCTCGCGCGCACAGACAAAGTGCGCGAGGTCGGCTTCGACCCTCGCCTCAGCCGTGTGGCGCACCTGGGTGAGTGGCGCCCCCTTCCGGCAGGGTCCCCGTGGGGGTGCTAGGCAGGCTCCATACAAAGCACGAAGGGCACCGACTACTCCTTCCCGCCCCGCCCCCTCGCCACCCGCGGAGCCCACGACTGCCACCCGGGCCCCCTAGAGCAGTTCTACGATTTACCAAGACCTACGCTGGGTAAGCGCAGACCTTGAGACAGAGCTCCCACCTCCTGGCCTGCACGCCCGCCAGGGTTGTCCAACCTGCCGCCCGCCGCACGCAGCCCAGGATGGCTGTGAATGAGGCCCAACACAAAGTCGTAAATTTACTTAAAACATATGAGACCCTTTTGTGATTACGTGTGACAATGTACTTAATGTGTGGCCCAAGACAGCTCTTCTTCCAGTGTGGCGCAGAGACACCAAAAGTTTCGGCACCTCACCTTCACACCCAGCACAGAGGCTGGGTCCACCTTGAACTTCCCTACCACTACCATTGTCATCTCTGCCCCACGCCCAGCTACTTCCCCTGATGCTTAGAAATGGAGTCTTTGCATGCTTACCCTCCATACGCCAAATCTCAGTTTTCCCTGTGGGTTGGCCTGCACCCCCTAAACACTTCATTGTGTGCTCCCCTTCCCTCCACCCCCAGAATTCTTCCTGGATGGACTTGGCTCCCTTCGGGTGGGCTCCTGTTCAGATGTCATCGTGGACCACGCCTCCAAGTTGAAGCTGCCTTGGACATCAAGGGATGCTGGGACAGAGACGTATGCCCGGTACCGTTATCCCGGATCTTTGGACGAAAGTCAGGTGGCCAAACACCGCCTGCTTTTCTTCAAACACCGGCTGCAGTGCATGACGACGGAGTGATGGCCACGCAGGGCCTTCCAACGTTGGGCTCAGCCTGCCTCCTTGTCCCTAACTGGAATTCCTAGCAAACCCCACCACCCAGTGACCACTCCACTGACTGTCCCCGGTCTCCTTCAGGGCCTGATCCCAAAACAGGGCTTGTCTTGGTGACGCCCCTCCTTTCTGTGAGGACCCGGGGGCACGAGGGAGCCATAACTCATCCCACAGCCAGTGCCAAGTCCTCCCCACACCCTTTCTCAGGGAGGTTGGGGGTCACTTTCCAAGTGCCAAAGAGCCCAAAGGACTCTAAGAACCTAAAGTGGAAACGCTAATCTCCTGGGGATTGAGTTGGTGGGGAAGCCCCCAACATGTATTCCCAGGGTTGTGCCCCCTCCCCCCGTCTCTGGATCCAGGATGGCGCACCAGCTGCCCCCCCCCACCCCCCGCCATGGAGAGAACTAGCGCCTGGAGCTGTGGTGAGGGCTAGTGAACACACAGGTGAAAACCATTTTTAGTTGTGTCTCTGCAGTGCTGTGGGCATGGAGGAAGGGGCACCAGGGTCCCTTATGCAGACACCCAGGCTCGCTTCATGAATCCCAGAGGCTCTCAGCTTCATTTTATTAGGTACATTAAGTAAGGGGGCTCAGGGACAAGTCCCTTCCCATACACATATCTTGGGGCCCTCCACACTCCCAGCGACTGGTCAGACCCATACTGTGCAAGTCTTCGGACCAGCGAGCTCCTGGAAAAGGGAGGGAACATTTCAGGAATAGGTTAAGTACCCCTCCCTTCCTCATCCAGGATCTGGCAGGCCTCTGAGGGGCACACCACCCGCTTTGGGATCTTTAGTTCCTCACCTCTTCCCCCATAGCTGGGGCCATTCTCCGTGGCTTAGACTTGATCAATTAACTCGTCGTTTCTTCCCCACCCCTTCCTCCACCTTACTCCTCCGCCCCCTCTGCCTGGATCTCCAGCCACTGACTCACACCTCACTCCTACATCCCAGCACCTCCGGGCTCCCACTCTTGTTGCCCCTGCCCCCTCACCAGTCTCTCCAGGGCATAAGCAGCTGCATCCTGGACGCTCACAAACAGCTGCTCTGGGGTCACTCTGTCCAGGAGTCCTGCCTGGGTCAATGTCCCCAGCACTGAGGCTGTGGGGAAAGGGGGTCAGGCTCTCAGGTCCTAAGTCCACACTGTGCCCTCTTCCTTCCCCCGTGTGTCCGGTCATTTCCCTGGTGTCCAGGTCCCTCTATATTCCACACCTCTCACCGTTACACTGAGCCAGGAGAAGGCAGATCCCGGCATCCCGGCATCTGCTGGCCAGCTGAGGAGGTGGGGCAGTGGGTTAGTCCCTACAACAGAGAGTATGCACGGGATGATAAAAGGGGGTTTCTCCTCAACCTACCCTTAGGCTCACCTGTACCACTTCTCTGGCCCCAGCAGCATCTGCAAAGGTGATACCACCACAGTCTAGGACCACCACTCGGACAGGCTCAGCAACTAGGATGGGAGAAGTACCCAGCAAGAGTACCCAGATGCTTCCATGGGTCGTGCTCCAATCTCCCTCCCTAACATCCCATCTCACCTGCATCAGGTGGGCCATCTGTCTTTGGAGTCTCCTGTGATTAGAAAAGGGCAGTCACCACTTGCGAGGCACAAGCATGAACATGTACACTTCGGGCACAATAATCCCCCTCAGAAACCCACCTGCCTCTCACTCCCAGAGAAGCCACACTGCCCTTTGACCCTCACCTTGCCTCTTCCAAGCCCCAGGTGCTGCTCTAGGATACGGCGAAACTGCCCACGGGTCCCAAAGTAGAGAGGTGTTGGATAGCTCAGGATGCAGAGCCCTGGGACCTGGAGGAGCTAAGGGGTCAGAGGGTCAGGGAAACATCCAGGTCTAATCTCCCCTTCCTTCTTTGCCTGTGGCCCACCTACCTTGTGGCTCTCTTTGAGTGGCCTGTAGAGCTCCGTCCCCTCGGCCAGTCCAAGTGCCACACACTGCACCCTTGACAGGAAGCTGGGGTCAGATTCCCAGCCTAGTCTGGCTGGGAAGTCACCCCAAGAACTCCTTTCTCTCCCTCCCCCTCATCTTGGCTCTCCTCATCTCCCCTCCCACCTCTGGGTGCGGCAGACCACAGTCATCATGGAGAAGACCACACCTATGGCCAGGCCCAGGTCCACACTCAGGGTCACTACAGCCACCCATGTGACCATCCACACAGCCTGCAGGACACAGATGGGAGTGAAATGCCCAGAAGAAATGCCAGGCCATCACTGCTAAGGAAAAGGGTCCAGGGGCAGTGACTGCCCAGACAATGTTAGGGAAGGATGGCTCAGGAGAAGGCAGAAAGAAAAACATAAGGAAGGAACAGGGTTGACTCAACAGTGGATGCACACTGGATGCAATGACCCCTGACCTAGCATCTCCTGGGGAGTTACAAATATTCAGGTCTGAGAGGGTTCAACCCCTGCCCCACATCCCACGCCCCACACGCCTTGTCTTGGAGGAAAGGGATTAAGAGGTATGCATGTTGGAGATGGCTGGATTGCAGAATTTAGGACCAGGACACTTGGGCTTTGATCCAGGAACAGAGACTGAGGATGCTGGGAAAACGGGTGGGGGCAATCTGGGGGTAATGCTGCCATTTCTCACAAAATCCATGCGGCTGACGCGCCATAGTTGTGGGAGTTCTCGCATCTGGAAGAACATCTGGCGCATGCTGGAGATGTTGATGCAGGCCAGGACAGCCTTGGAACAGAGGACACAAACTAACCATCCCAATATCCTGGAATATAGCCACCCGTCCCAGCCACCCCCACACTTTCTCTGCTCCTTACCTTGGGCAGATAGTAGAAGAAGGGTCCCAGCCACAGCAGCACCGACAGGACAACTATGCACGAGAAGAGGCCTGCCAGCTAGAGGGAAGGATGGGGGCGGGCGGGGGGGGGGGAAGCAAAGAAGGAAGCTAAACCCACCCACCTTCGTGTGAGAGGTGGTCCCTCTCCACTTGGCCTCATCTTCCTTGAAAATCTCTCTCCTCTTAAATCCCCTTCCACCTAAATATTCCTCTTGATATTCTGCCATTCACACCTTCCCTTCTCTTTCCCACAATTAAATGCCTCATTCACTAGTCTCCCCTAGATGTAGTCAACTTCTCTTTTTTTAAAGCCACTTAAAAGCCTCCATCTTAAAAGCCACATTGGAATTACCCCGAACACAGGCTCACCACACACGCAGTGCACCAACAAAGTAACGGAAACCAAAAATATAAAAATTTCGGGGAAACTTTGTTATGTGATATTTCTTTTTAAAAGAAAATGTCCTTATGAAAAAAAAATCAGAACTTTGTCTCTTAAATTTATTTTACAGTTTAGTATTGTTCTTACTTTGAATTGCATATGGGGCACCATAAACTGTTTCAGCACTTCCAGTCCACAAAGGTCTTAATGGAACTTTGCTCTCTTCTTTCTCTCCTCTCTGGACAATCCCATCCCCTCTCTCACCCTCCCTCACAGAGTCCCGGCCCCCTCTGTGTAGCTGCCACCTGTTTCTCTACCACCACCACCGCCACCCAGACCTGGATGTCCCTCCCTTCCCCTCAGTGGATGCACCCAAGGATGCCTTCTTACCTGTGTGTTCCCGCCAGCATCCACTAGCAGGCTGGTGGTGGCCAACGTGGCTGAGTTGGGAAAGCAGGAGAAGAGGGAGGAGATGAGGTTGGAGGCACCATGCGCCAAGAGCTCCTGGGGGTACAGTGAGATGAAGAGAGAGACAAAGGCATGAGGCAATAACATTAGGGGGTGGTCTCCTGAATGAGGCTGGAGTCCCCACTTGGAGTCACACCTGGTTGGCGTCAATAGCGTAGCTATATTTGTCTGCATAGATGGAGGCCAGCGAGGCAGACACAGCAAAAGTGACCAGTGCGATGGGCAGTGAATCGTCCAGAACCCTGGGTAGCTCAGCCAGGTTGGGGAGGAGAGGCTGAGGAAATCTGGAGAGACAGGGATCCATGGTAAGAATGTGTTGGGTATTATAAGGATTATAGGAAAGATGGAGGAAAAAGGGTGGAGCAGGACAGAAGGGGGTGTTGGGTGGGAGAGGTGTGAGAAGAGAGAACTTGTGTCCTTTCCTCCTCTCTTACCCTCGAGGCAGCAGCCCCACTATCTGGACGTTGTATCTCGTGTCCAGGGAAGAGGTGAAGCAGAGCACGGAGGCCAGAAGCACCTGGGAAAGACAGCATATTAGGGCACAAGAAGAAATGGGTCCCCTGGCAGAGGCTAGAAGGGCTCAACATGAGAGAGGATCAAATACAGAACCAGGTGTTTGCAGGAGCCTAGCAACTGGGGGAGCTGAGATGTGCCTGGGGTGGGTGCTTGACAGCGAGTTCAGAGTGAAGGAGAGCGGGGATGAAAAGAGGAATGATACCTACCTGGAGCTATGGAGATGGATGGATGGGAGGAGGAAGGAGGGCTCCTATGAGGGAGGGATGTGGGTCTCAGGAGGCAAAACCGAGCCATTCTAACTAGGGAAGCTTGGCTATGTCTGGAGATATATAGGGTATCGGTGGAGATGTGAAACGTTTACTTATCTTGGGGAGAGAGAGAAATGTAGGTGGGTGTGGGAAGGGAAATAAACTGAATTACAGTGAAGGATCAGGCAAGAAGAGAGAAGGAAGTGGATGTGCTGTGGCGAGCGACACCGCACGGGAGCGCTACAAGGAGGAAGAGGGCGTTCTAACAGGTGCAGAGGAGACTGTAGGAGAGGAAGTGGAAATGTATGTGTGAGGGATTCCGGAGGGGTCAAAGTGTTCTTGGAAGAGACCTAGAAAATTATTTTTCCATGTATAATGCGCACCTTTTGCCCACATTTTGGAGAGGAAAATAAGGATGCGCATTATACATGGGTTTAATGATTTTATACCATGGGCGTAGTAATGTGGGTGCGCATTATACAAGGCAAAACACGGGGTACATGCGTCAACAAGACCTCTCGGTGTGACATCTCTTTATCCCACTAGATGGCGGTAGCGTCCAGTTCCTACAGGATAGGCAAGGTCTGTGAGGCGAAGGGCGCCGGTACTCAAGAGCCATCCTCACCATGACGATTTCCCCTGGGATCGGGGTGGGTAGCTTGTCTCGGAATCTCACGTTCAGTTCTTTGACTGGCACGAGCAGCGCCAGGCAGAGTGCGGAGATGGTCAGTTCGGCCGGATTGCTTCGGGGAAGCGCGATCAGCACAGCGGCCAGCGTCTGCGGGCAGGGGCGGTGAGCAGAGGGCCCAGAGTCAGGGGCGACTGTCCCCGGAGCGGACCTACCTGATCCAGGCAAGGCCTTCTCTCTCACCTCCACGGCGACCCTCATTCAGCCTCCTGGTTCTAACCTCCTTTCCTCCG